CCCAAGAAGCGAAAGAAAGATCCCATGCTGATGTGTCATCCGTCCTGGTATATCCATTAAATCAGACTGAGAAGACCACTGGAAAAAGTGAGTGCATGCACTTGCTCCCTGAGGGAGAGGCTGAGAGCCAACAGTGGAACCAGGTCTTGCCAGGGAGGCTCCAGGCTGCTCAGGAGAGAAGGCAGTGGGAAGCCAGGAAGTTGGTTAGTTCTAATGCACAGGGATTTGGGGTCATGAAAGGAAGCCAGCTAACTACACTGAAATCCTACTCGTCCCAGTGATATCTACGTTGACCCACCCTCCTCTGTAGGAACAGCTGTTGCTGCCATCGGGCAGGCACATCCATCCTCCAAACATCCTGTGATGATGACTCCTGTCCAGAAACCCTCGGAGAAGGGCATGTGGGAAGGCAGACTGGCTGTGGTTTAGAGTTCTTCTGGAATAGCAGGAATTGCTTTTTCCCCAAAGGGGAAACCCAATCTTTCTGCCATTCTGCTCACCCATTAGTTTTCCTTTCTTTAAAAATGTTTTTAAATGTTGTTAACCTATATAAATATTTCTCACTCTCCAATTTCCAACTAGTCAAGGGGAATGGATAAAATGACTGCCTGAGATTTCCTTAACACCCTTCTGAGAGATTCTAGCATTACATCCTGTCAATACCCCCTTTCTTACATGGTAAACATCATTAGCAAGCTTGTTACCATTAAACCATCAAAAGAGGTTCTACAAGCCAGTCTCTTCCCTGTGCACCTCTCCCATGGCTGTCTTAGAAGATTGCTTCTCAACCCTGGCTGCACATTAGAATCACCTAGGGGGCTTGCCCAGGTCCCACCCCCCCAACTAATTAAATCAGAGTCTCCCAGAGCAGCCCTGGACATCAGGATTTTGTAAAAGCTCCTTAGGTGATTCTTATATGCAGCCAGAGTAGAGAATCAGTAGCTTGGGGGCAAGAATCCAAGTTGAGTAAAAAAGCACAGCGGTGGTAATCATGAGTGCGGACCAGAATCACCACCTGATTTTACGACGTGCTCTTTCTCAGTCCTAACGTGTTCTCTTCCTGGACCTACCCAATGAAAACGCTTCTTTGGTCATTCATGTCTTGGTGTAACATTTTATGAAGCTGAACTCAGTGGTCCTGTATGTCTCACCATGTCGTCCCAAACAGTGTTGGGTAACTTTCTTTGTATAGCTCTCAGTGTGGCATGTCACAGTCAGTGAGGTGCTATTGTGAGGCGGGAAAAGTGGGTGTTTTGGACTCAGAGCTGCGTTCCAAAACTTACTAGTTGGGCCCTCCTGAGCTAAAATGGAGATAACTATATACATATTCACAAAGTTTAAAAATCGGATCCTGTGTATAAAGTCATTCATGCATGGGTAGAGCTAAGCGTGAGGTCCCTTTCTTGCCCAGCTCTCTCTCCACCCACCCTACAACCTTGTTATCCCAGAGAAAGCCAAACACATTGAAGAAATGAGAGCTGTCTTTAGGATAGTCAACTGGAAACTCATCCTGCAGACAGAGCATGGAAGCTTTCGTTTTCTCTCTGGAGGATGCCACAAGCACACACAACCACACCTCACATTGCACACACACCTCCCCCTCTTGACATTATAGCAGGAAGGAGAGAGAAAGGCTGTTACCCAAGGGAGCTGTTTCTTCTTGTCACACAAGAACAGATGCTGAAATCCTAGGACAGACAGCACAGAAATGTGGCAGCAGGAGGGTGAGTCAGAGGAAATGGAATGGTCTCACCTTCAAGATACATCAAGGCCCAGAGGGGAACCTATTTGAATCACTAGCCTCCTGGAGATTCCAAAGGGCAGAGACGTGTGTGTGTGTGTGTGTGTGTGTGTGTGTGTGTGTGTGTGTGTGTGTTTAGGGCCAATTCTGAGTCCAGCTTCTCCACAGACCCCAGCTGCTTAGAGATGCGCACAGCACCTCCTCCCAGGGCACCCCGCCCCTTCTCAAGGAAGGAGGGAACAGGGAAACAGCAAGCGGCTTTCTTTTTGAACCCAGCTCTGGCTTCCTCATTCTGAGAAGCTCACCAGCAGCTTCTTTTCTGCTGCACTTGCAGGCTTCCCAAGTGCTGCCAGCCTTACACTGTAAGGCTGTGCTCTGTGGGGGACATTGTCCGGACACCGTGTACACTGAACTTGTATGTTTATACAGAATCCCCACTAAAGGGGCACCCCAGGTTGGGGGACCCTGAGGAAGGAAAGGAGTCCTGGGGTCTCTGTTGAGGGAGTTTGGGAAGGAGCCATGATAGGAGGAAATCTCTTCCTTGAAAAGTTCAACTTGAGTGCTCTGGATTTACTTATTCACCACGGCACTTAAGCTGTAAAGCGATCCTGATGATGATAACGATAGCAACCCTGGTGGTGGTGGTGGTGTTGGTGGTGCTGAGGATTTTTCGGTTCCTAAGCTTCCTTCCCTGGCCTTCTCTCTCATCCCCAGCCCCTCTGCCCCCCTCAGTGCCTCTCAGCCACTCTGCTGTCACTAATTCCTCCCCCTCCTCTCCCCGGAGCCACTCCTGCTCTCTAAGTCCCCTGTCTTCCCAGGTCTTCCTCTCCTTCTGCAAGCTGACCCTCTCCCACTGTGGGTACCATTCACTACACAGAGGCTAGGAAATGCCCCTGGAGGCTTTTTGGTGCTGTCGTTGTAAATATGAGCTAATAATGGACGAGCTCACAGAAATATTAAAGCATCGAAATAATCAAATCAGTACTTTTTTAAAATTTATTTTATTTTTGGCTGCTTTGGGTCTTTGCTGCATGTGGGCTTTCTCTAGCTGCAGCGAGTGGGAGCCACTCTTCGCTGCGGTGCGTGGGCTTCTCACTGCAGTGGCCTCCCTTGCTGTGGAGCACCGGCTCCAGGCACGCGGGCCTCAGTAATCGTGGCACACGGGCTCAGTAGCTGTGGCTTGCAGGCTGTAGAGCACAGGCTTAGTAGTTGTGGCCCACGGGCCTAGTTGCTCCGTGACACATGGAATCTTCCCGGACCAGGGCTCGAACCCGTGTCCTCTGCCTTGGCAGGCAGATTCCTAACCGCTGTGCCACCAGGGAAGCCCCAAATTAGTATTTTTAATAACATTGAGCCGGCATGACCATTGACATAACTTCTGATCATCTGGAATCCAAGCAATTAAAATACTGTCTTTTCCTCCATTATACCAAATAGCATTGATTAATGTTCATTATTATAACTCTGGTAGCCTGCAGGGAAGATTCAGATGTGCCTTCTAAATCATCATAAAGAGGTTCAGTAGACGTTTCCTCAGACACGTGTGGCTCGCCCCCTCACTTCCTTCAGCTCTTTGTTCAAATGTCACCTTCTTGAAGGCTTTCTCAAATGACCCTGATGAAAATGGCATTTTTCCCTGCCTCTCCCCAACCCCTCACATTCCTGACACCCATTCCTGATCTATTTTTCTTCATAGTGCTTACCAGCAATTCAAATAATATCTATTTTATTCATTTATCTGCGTATTATGTCTTGCACAGAAATGCACACACACACACACACACACACACACACACAAACACTTGAATAAGCTCCACGAGAGCAAAGATTTTGTTTACCTTGGCTATTGTTGCATCCCAGTGACTAAAAAAGTAACTGGCACATAGGAAGCACTCAAATATTTGTATGGCACATAAAACATGGTTTCACTGGACCTGTCATGTGTCCTCTTTGGGGCACCAGCGATTCCACAGGCACATTATCTCTATTTTTGTAGTACGCAATGCCTGATGCAGAGAAGGACCACACACATTTGTAAACAAATTAGTAAAAGTGGTATTTGGAGATTAAATACAACAAAAGAAATATGTAGGGTGCTGAGACAGAGAATGTGACAGCAGAGACCTACCAAGTCAGATTCGGTGGTTGTCAGAGAAGGCCTTTTGGTGATGACATTGAAGTTGAGATGAAGAATGAGATGGCTTGAAACCATTCAGCAGAGGAAACCCCCATTCCCCAGTCACCTGGGATGAGTGAGTGTGGTACCCAACATCAAAGGACCTGAAGAGAAGAATGGAGAAGAAATTCTTAGTCTGAATTTCTGGGTTCCACCTCCATTCAACTATTGATTAGCTGAAGGATCTTGAAAGATCACACAAACTCTGAGTCTCCCTTTGCTTGAAATGGGGATGAGAACACCTACCTCACAGGTGTAAGTTATATCAGATAATGTACGTGAAAAGTCTTAAGTGTAAAATGCATGCCTGGTATTGTGACAGGTAAATGGTAAGTACTGTAAACTCTGTACCGTTGGAGTGTGAATTTCCCACTGGCCTTGAGGACGCTGAAGCTAAAGCTTGTCCTCTGGTGTACTTAGGCCAAAGGAACGAAAGCGTGGCAAAGCCTGATGCCATTCACTGGTGAAGCCTTTGTGCTGCTAGGCATCTGTCTTGTTTCAGATTGTGTCGTGTCTGTGTCTTGGGAGACTTCTGCCACGGCGTCCGGGCGCCATGGCTCCCTAACCCAAGTCGCGTGAGAGGAGTGGGAGAAACTCTTCTATGCAGAGGGGTCTCTCTAAGAGCTGCCCTCATCTGCTCCCACTGCTAGAACCTGTCTCTGAGACCCAAAGGATGACCTGATATATTTGTCCCAACGGTACCTACCAGGAGTCAAAAGACAAACTGGACTTTGCCTGTGTTTTCTGCTGGCCTCAGGACAGCCTGCGGACGTCGGTGCAAACCAAACCCACAAGTCAGAGAGAAGGCAGGAGGGGAAAGAGAGGCCGGTCCTGGGACAAACGGAGGATGCGGGGAGCTGTGGGCTTTGAGGAGACGAGGAGGGCGAGGGGAAGGAGAGGTGGGGGAAGGAGCGCTGGGGTGTGGGCGCAAGGCGGAGAGAGCGGGAACGGAGAGGAGACGAGGGAGGACGAGGAGGGAAGGGCCGCGGGGAAAGGAAGGACACGCGCAGACGGGCAGAGAGGGCGGACGCGAGGCCGGCGGCTGCCGGGGAGGAGCAGGCGGCGGCCCCGGGGGGCGCGGGGCGGGGTGGGGCGGCGCTGTCAGCGCGAGGCGGCGAGCGGAATGCAGCGGCCGGAGGCCTGGCCACGTCCGCACCCGGGGGAGGGGGCCGCGGCCGCCCCGGCCGGGGGCCCGGCGCCGCCCGCCCGAGGCCGGGAGCCCGCGGGGCTGCGGGTACGGAGCGGGCGGCACCGGGGGCCGAGCGGGCGGCGCCAGCTCACAAGTCGCCCGCTGGGCGCTGGGGAACTTGGTGCCGCCCGGACCGGCCGGGGAGGAGCGGCGCCCGCGCAGGCAGAAAAGTTCCTCCGCGCGGACTCGGGAGGAGGCCGGTCTCGCGTCCCCTTGGACGAAGTTCTGGAGCAGTCGGCGCGGGCGGGGGCACGGCTCGGCGGGGCTGGATTGCGATTCTCCCGGAGGGTTAGGGAGCCGCGGGGCCGCCCCGGGCCTCGGGCTGACGTGCGTGCTTCTGGAGTCCGACGGGCCGGGGGCTGGGGGCGCGCGGAGAGCGCGGGTCCAGCCTCGGCCGCTGGCCGCTGGAGGAGGAGGCTCGGCGCCGCTGTCCCCCCGGCCCAGGTTCTGTGATACACTCCGACTCGGGCTCTGGAGCAGTCAGTGCATGACAGAACTTGGGCCCGGACGGACCTTCCGCACCCAGTGGGCACAGCGCCCACCCGGGGCCTGCAGTGGACCATCTGCCTGGGAGGGGAGCGGGCACCCGAGTGGCCCATGTGGCACAGGGTTGGGCCGGAACCAGCTGTGGACCTTTGGGGTTGGGGTCGCTGGAGCCTGAGGATTGACTCTTGGGACCAGAAGGTCCCGTAGAGCCAATGACAGGAGGTCTACCCTGAATTAGGGGCCAACGGAGCTCTCCCCCCCCCCACCCCGCCCCGTGTCAGTTGCAGGAACCTTCCCTCTACACCATCAAGGCTGTCTTCATCCTAGATAATGACGGACACCGCCTGCTGGCCAAGGTAACCTCCCACCTTCACCGGAGGGCCCCTGAAGACACTGTGCCACAGGCCCAATAACAGAAGTCCCCACCAAGCTGCCTCTCCTGGCAGGAGGGACCCCACTGTGGGCTCTGCAACTCAGAGCACCTCAGCTGAGACTCCTCCAAAGGCCATTCTGTCCATCCTCCTACCTTGTCAGACTGCTGGCCCCTGAAAGGGGGTGGGGCTGTCTCCTCTGTTTCTAAAATGTTCCCTAAAATGTCTTCTCACCATCTTTTCCACTGGCCTGGGACCCCGGAGTCCTAGTCCCCAGATTCTGAACAAGTAACCTCCACTTTTCTTCCACAGCTTGGTAAACACTAAGGATTTAGAACCAGACAAGATTTTAGAGACTATATAATCCAATTCTTTCATTTCACAAATGAGGAAAATGCAGTCTAGAGAAGCTAAAAGCGTTGCCTGTGGTCACAGGTAGTAATATCCGAACACAGATCCAAACTCAGGTATTTTGACCTGAAGTTCAGGAGGGTGGTTTTCACTGCACCAACTATTCAACTATCTGGTATCTGTGCTAGTGAACATGGCCAGGATAAACCAAACTAGAATAATCCAAAAATAAATGTCTCCCATCAACACAGTTAACTATAGTAGGACTATGGCACCTAAACTAGCTACAAAATGCATTGTAGATTTTTCGTTTGTATGGGTTGAAACTTTTTGACTTCATGACATTGAAATGAGCTTGTTCACCACAGCAGTGGCCAGCAGGGAGACTGCTAATTTGCCTGCAGATGGGGTACTAAGTGGCAAAATCCACATTCAGAAAATTGAAAGCTGAGCTGACATCTCTTGCTGCAGCTGGTCAGAGGTGTCTCGGCAACCAGAAGTTCCAGGGCCTCCTCCCAGCAGATCACATCCATGTTCAGATGCAGGAACTGAGTCAGAGAGAGAGTCTCATCAAACCCAAACAAAACAGCATTGACTTAATTAGGCAGTGTGTGCCAGGAACTTTCCCTTAGATATTTCATCTTCACCATAACCCTGTCTGAAGTCAGACCATCGTTGGTGTTCAATCCCAGCTCTGTCCCTTACAACTGTGAGATGTCAGGGAAGTTACCTGACTTCACGCCTCAGTTTCCACATCCATATAATGTGGATAATAAAGTAGCTGTTGTGATATTATTGTGTTAAAGGGTCCCTGGCTCTGCCTTCTTTCCTGTAGACTCAGGTTAGTGTAGAAACAGTGTGGCCTAGTGACCACCGCAGTCTTTAGCACACTGCACATCTGCGGAATGTACAAAGGCCTTCAAGAAATCAGGACAGGACTCCACGAGAAGGCCTCAAAATTCCTCTATTTGCTCAGAATTTGTGTTTATGGGGAAACAGCGAGCAGACAGGCCTAGAGGGCGGTCAAGAGAAGATGGGGCACGGCAGCAGGGTCCCGCTTGGCCAGCACCCACCATTCCCTGCCACCCATCCAGGGAGGAAGCTCTGTGGAACAGCTGTCACCTTTTCTCCTTCCCTTTCACCTAGTATTACGACGACACATTCCCCTCCATGAAGGAGCAGATGGCCTTCGAGAAAAATGTCTTCAACAAGACCAGCCGGACTGATAGTAAGTGTCCGCCTCTTGCTCGTGCAGAACTTTCAGATGCACACCGTCATCTTCATCTGGACACATCTGTCCCCGTCGGCCTCACACACCCACAGGCCATTCCCTTTTCTTCAGAGGTGCTTTTTCCTCTCCTTCCCAGCTGTTCTCTTCTCTCTTCTTCCTGTGAGCCTTCACTCCCCTCCCTCTCAACCCCCCTCTTCCTGCCTAGGGCATGCCTGGACTTCTCTCAGTGGAAGGGGCCCGCACTAGCCTGGGGCACTAGCCTTAGGCATTGCGTATGGTGGGCAAAAGGTCAGCCTTGACCCAGGTTTGTTGACTTCTTAGAATGAGGCAGTCAAGTGCTGGGAATGGAGTAGAGGGTGGGGGGAGGGACACAGAGTAGCCTAATAGTAGTGTCCCTAGTGCGTGTCTTTTCAAGGGTGCTAGTCTTTGCAAGGGTTCTTTGTTTGTTTGGCCTCTCAGCTTGTGGGATCTTAATTCCCTGACCAGGGATTGAACCCGGGCCCTTGGCAGTGAAAGTGCAGGGTCCTAACCACTGGACCGCCAGGGAACTTCCTTTGCAAGGGTTCTCTGGAAGGGGAAGAAGGAAATAGGGCAAGAGGCACAGAGCTGCAGACGGGGAGGAGGGGCCAGGCAGAGGTGACCAGAACTGAGACCCCCCCCTGCTCTTCTAGGTGAGATTGCATTTTTCGGCGGCATGACCATCGTCTACAAGAGCAGCATTGACCTCTTCCTGTATGTGGTGGGCTCATCCTACGAGAACGAGGTGAATTCAGGAGGTTGGAGTGACGAGGAGGCTTGGATTCTGGGGTAGAAGCTGGGAGGCTCACCATTGGTACCCCTCCTTCTAGACTCTGGGGAACTGGGAGCAGCCAGATGGTTCTTTCTGGAACAGTGCATATCCGTGATGTTCCTTAGATTCCTTGGGTACCAGAAATGGAGTCCTCAGAGGCCTCTGTGTCTTAAACATCACTGGAGAAGGATGTACTCAGTGTCCCACAGCAGGCACTCCAGTGCTTCCAACCCAAACATGGGGAGGGGAGGGGCCCTCTCAGGTCAAACTGCAGTCAGGCTCCAGCCATGTCCTCTCTGAAGAGGGACAGCTGCCCACACAGTCAGGCTCTGAGATTTCCTTTTAGCCTTCTTAACCTCAAGCTCTCTCGTTTTTCTCCTCCCATTATCTGCCCACCCCCAGCTGATGCTCATGTCTGTTCTTACCTGCCTGTTTGAGTCCCTGAACCATGTGTTAAGGTGAGTGAGGCCCTCTATCCTCCAAGGCTCCCATCCCCCAGACCTTGGTACATCACAGAGGCGGGACCCTTCCTCCCTGCTCTTTTCTCCTGAAGTCCCCACAAGACTAAGGCTGGAGCCAGAGCATCCTTCTGCAAGGACCCTGCCCTTTACCTGATCAAGCAATGGTATGGCCAGAAAATGAGGTCTAGAGAAACTAAATGATTTGCCTGAGGTTACAAGCTATTTATATCAGAGCAGAGATTCAAACTCAGGGCTTTTGACTTGAAGCTCAGGGTGATTCTCCCTCCACCCCCATTCAGTGATCTGGTATCTACGCCAGTGAACGCAGCCTGGGTAAACCAAACGCAGATAACCCAAAGATAAATGTTCACAGTCGACACAATTAACTACAGTAAGGCTATAGCACCTGAAGTGCTACGAAATGCTTAAGGGTGGGCACAGGGCCCCTGCTCAAAGTGTGAGGACGGCGGGCAAGGGGAGCTTAAGGAAGCAGACCCGTGCTCTGGGCAGGGATCCCTTGCCCAGGTGCTGCCCTCACTGCCCTTGACATTCTCCTTCCCTGTGCTTGTGCGGGGGATTGGCGGTGGGAAATAAGGCAATCTTTGGAGAGAGCGGGTCCGCCTCACCTAGACAGGGACCCGGCTTCTCCTGGCCATGGGGAGGTTCCAGAGCTGTGTCTGCCTTCAGGAAGAACGTGGAGAAGCGCTGGTTGCTGGAGAACATGGACGGAGCCTTTCTGGTGCTGGACGAGATTGTGGATGGCGGGTGAGGAGGAGGGGAGGGAAGAGGGGCTGGTCAGGGACACTCACAGCGGGAGGTGCCCTTGAAAGTCATCAGCTCTAGGTTGCACCCAGCACACTGTTGGCTCTCTGGCCAACTTCTCCCTCCCTTCCCCCAGCATATTCCCAGTGTCCCATCCCCCCTACCCCACTCATGAGGATGGAGGTTGACTTCAATGTTAGCCAAAGAGAAGCACACAAGAAAGTAATCTGGTGTCCAACTATGGCTGACTGTTGACTAGGCAGGGTTTGGGGCGACGGTTTGATTTCCAGTGCCCAGGAGAAGCAGGCAGCACAGATACTTGCCCCTTCCTGGGAAGACTTCCTTCAGGCGGAGCCCTGCTGCTGCCACACCTCCTGCTCTTAGAGGTTCATTCCAACACCAGCTAGACGTGTGACCTGGGCCAGTTACTTACTTTCCTTACTTTCTCCATCTTTCAAATGGAGACAGTAAGGGAACTGCCTCAAAGGGTGTGGGATTAAATAAGGTGACGCAAGTGAAGCTCATGGTTTTCCTTCAATAAATGTTTCCTACTATTGGCATAAGATTATAGTCTTAGGATGGTGGGAACTCTTAGGAGAAGGGTTGGTTAGTGAATTTCCATGGGGGTGGCACAATATTCAGGGAAAAAAAGAAGGTCTGGCTCTGGGGCAAAAGGTAATGGGAACAGATCACCTGAAAGACATCCACGGGCCTCTGTCATTCCATCCATTTAATAGATGAGGAAACAGAGGCTCAGAGATTCAAGTCCCCAAGATCACATGGCTAGGGAGGGGCAGGGCCAAGATCTAAAACATGTGCATGTTTCCAGAGATTGTGCTCTTTCCACAGCACTGTACCACCCTGCTGGGGGACAGGGGCTCTGGGAGGTACTCTGGGAATGGGTACTGTGGGCTTCCTCCCTCCTTCCTCCCTCCTTCCTCCCTCCCTCCTTTCCTCTATAGCTCTTGACTGTCTGCTGCTGCTGCAAGGCCTTGTGCTAATTGCTAGGACCCAAGACTGAGGGGAATAAAACCAGGTTTTGTGGAATATACAATTTGTGTATACAACTTGGTAGACTGTCCTTAAGGAAAGCAAAGCGCGCACACACACACACACACACACACACACACACACACACACAAACAATTACAAATACAAAATGAGGTGCAGGGCCTTGGAAGGACCTTCACAAGGGAGGGTGTAAGCTTTATCAGCTTCCGGTCTGTGCCCCTAGAAGGCCCAGTTTCTGCCCCCTGAGGGGCTCACAGTTTCCCTCCAGTGAAAATCAGGGAAGTGTCAGTGGAGTCAACACCTGAACTGGAGCCTTGGCCTAGGTTGCTCTGTCCAAAGGACCCCTGGTGAGAGATCTGGGGCTGCAAGTGCCCCTGTGATGGGCCTGGGAGAGGCTCTCAAGAAATGTTTTTTCACTTCCTTCTGCCCTGGAGGAGACTCACTGGGTGAAAAGGAGGAGTCACTCAGTCCCCGTGGGCCCTAACCTTCCCACAGTGACTGGCTCTCACCCCTGCACACACCCACACGTGGCTTCAGAACGCCCCCAGGGCATCAGGAAAGAGCGTCAACTAGCCGAGGAAAGCCTCCATAACTGGGTCTGTAGATTCTGATTTTTTGGAGTTCCATTTCTTTCGTGTATGGCATGACCCTGTGGCATAAAATAATAGTGAAACGAGATAGGGACCCCGGGGTGCGGGGGGGGCCTCTCTTCCTTCCCTGCATCTGAATCCATCCCTAGACCCAGAGGTGAAGTGAACTTTCTAGAGGTCTCAGTTTTTGAGTCCCTGCTCTTGACAACCGGATTGTTCTAGACTGGACTGCCCTCACCTGATCTCTAAGTGTTTGCCCAGTGATGATGAAGTGTGGGAGAATCAGAGCTGAGGGTGCTCCGTGGTGAGGGAGAGTTCTGGCTTGAGTATCAGCAGGAAGGTACCTTGGAGGGGGAATGTAGCATACGGCAGGGAAGGGAAGGGCTTAGCAGGGAGCGGAGGCAGAGGGAAGCATGTGGCTGATTTTCCTCTCGGTTTTTCTGTCATCTTGTAGTGTGATTCTGGAGAGTGACCCCCAGCAAGTGATCCAGAAAGTGAATTTTAGGGTAAGAGTCATCCTGCATCCCCCCTCACTCCCATCTCCTCCAGGCTGCCCTTCCCATCCTCTCCACCTCCTGTCCTCCCTGTATCTGGGCTGCCAGAACCCCGATGGCGGGAACCCAAGCTCCTCTAGCAGAAGCAACCACTGGGGTGATGCACTTGTTGGGGGAGCAGCAGTTTAGAGGAGTGTCAATTAGTAAAAGATATCTCTGCCCTCTCCCCCTGCAGAATCACAAACACCTCACCATCCTCCCTAGTGGGAAGTAGACTGGGGAAAGAAATAAATCCTCACAGAGACACCTGATGGCTGCCTTGGCCTTGAGGTTGGCCTTGGGGGTGTATAGATAGAACCTCCCTGCCCAGTTTGGCTTCTCATGTCTGGATGAAACCTTTCCTCTCATCTTTATTCCCCCTCACTCTCTCACCCACCTTGTGCCAAACAAGAAGCTCTAGGACTTCCACTAAGTGGTTTACATGTGCAGCTCTGGATCCCCTGATCACTGCATCTGTTCGCCGCCACTACCCCCAAGCCCCTTTCCCTCGCCTCTCTTTCTTCACCCAACACCCTCGCCCTGGCCTGACCACCCTGACTCTGCTTCCGTGCAGGCGGATGACAGCGGCTTAACTGAGCACAGTGTGGCCCAGGTAGGCCCCCTCCATCTGCCTTGGCCAGAAAAGGGTTGGTGGGAGGAGAGCAGAGCATCCCAGGGGGACCCAGTGGGGCTATCAAGGCTGAGAAGTCAGGGGTGCAGGAGGGAAGGGATGACAGTGTCAGGCCATCTCTTGGAGACAGTCAGTGGAGGCTTCCAGGGTCCCCTAGGTGACGTGGAGCTGGGTATTAATAAATGATGGACACCTTCCTAGCAGTTCACCTTATCTCCTTCCTGGCTTGGTATAGTTGGATCAAAACCCAGGATGACCTGCCCACCCTGGAGATGGCTGGGTCACTTGTTCCCCAAAGCAATCTGGGGGCTTAGGCCTCTGATGCTTCCCCCAACCTAGAAAGGATACCAAATAGAGTTTTCCTCCAAACCCTCACCCCTGCTGTTTAGGGTCCACGCTGAGATTGTTAAGGGACCCTTAAATCCATGATGGGATCTAATTCTCACCACTTGCCACCATGTCCCCAAGTGACCTGACTATGGAAGAGTCTACCCCTGTCCTATCTGGAAGTGCATGTGGGGCAGGGGTGAGGTTTCTGTATCTGTGGCTTGACTGGTTTCCCAGCTGTGCAAACTTCCTGCTTGTCAAGCTTGACCTCCATTCTGTCTGCCCACAGGTCTGTCTGCCCGGACTAATTCTGCTTTTATGGAGTTTCCTGCCCTGCCACTAACTACCTCCTGCTGTAATGGCCCAAGCTCAGATGGGCCTGTACCATCCCACGTGGAGCCCCAGGTGTGGTGCCCACTTTCCTGTGACTGCCCTTCGTACTCACACTGCCTCTCCCTCTTCCCAGTTCCCAATGCCTCCTCCTACCCTGCTGAGATGAATGCAGCCGCATGGCAATTTTCAGGGCTAAAGAGGTTAAGGAGCAGAGCAGATAAGAACAGAAGTGCTGGTGTGAGTCATCCCAGGATGTATGTTGTGCCTTATCACCTACAAGCTGGGTAGCCTAGGGCAAGTTACTCAACTTCTCTGGGCCTCACATAATCACAGGACACTCCTCATAGAGTTATCATAGAGAATTAGATGAGCTAATGCATGGAGAGCTCTTGGCCTAGATCCTGTTTTCCAAAGGGGAAAAGAATGAAGGCACAGCACTTTTAATGGAATTCTTGAGTAAAAGAACTGAGGAAGTTGCAGGTAGTGAATGGGAGATGAAATGAGGAGAAAGATTTTTGCCGAGAGAAGCAGGAGAACTCCAGGGCCAGGCTGTCCCTGAGAAAGGAGGGGGAGTGGGCAGGAGGAAGGGACATACAGTGTGGGATTGACCTTCTTCGAAAGGGAATGAGGCTTGATGGCTGGAGGAACAACGTGAGGGACATACCTGGGGTCCCCACCATGTTGGCATGGTGTGTGCACAGTCGTATGGATCTGTGTAAACGTGGGGCTGAGGCGGTTTCCTCAGCAGGATGTTAGAGTGAACACATCTGGGTGCAGGTGACCCTCAGCAGAGTCTGCCCAGGAGCCCTTTGCCAGCTGTGCCACATCAGCAGCGGGTTGGGGTGGGGTGTTGAGGACCTACTGCCAGCCAAAGCCAGAGCTAGGGGTTTGCTGAGGTGTCTGGGCACAGGAAGTGTCAGGCCTGGGCCCGTCTCTGCCTGGACGTGGCACTGTGGGCGGGAGCTTGAATGGCATGGTGTGGGGAGTCAGGGCTGCTGCCACACCCAGGGCTGCAGATGCAGGAGCGGAGAGCTGGGCAGGCTCTGGCCTGGGCTGGTTGTTGGCTGCAGCCAGTTACGGCTGCTCTTCCCATCTTGACGGCCCGGCCCCACTTACGGCAGGCAGAGATGAGCTGCTGCCACCTAGTGACCGGGGATTATAGGGACGCGTAGAGAGAGGCTATAGACCGCCCCCTCCCCCGTCTCACTGCAGTGTTAATGTACTTGTCATTCCTCCCCAGTAATTCTCTCAACCTTGCACACCCCCACCCCACCCAGGTTCTTCAGTCTGCCAAGGAACAAATTAAATGGTCGTTACTGAAATGAAGGCTGTGCATTCAAGGCTCCCTGCCCCCAGACCATTCCCCCAACCCTGGCAAAAGCACAAAGACCCCAGGGGACACCAGAGACCCCTCTATATCCCCAGGCCTTCCCAGAACTGACTCCCGAGGTCTCCGGCCAGGGACTCTGAGATGCAGAGGTTTGGTTTCAACACTGAGTCACCCCTTCTCACTGTCCTGGCCTGCTCTTTGGGCCTTCAGAACCAGCTGAGCTGCCTTAACTCAGACCTTAGGCATCCCTGGCCCCAGAGCCCAAATAAACCTGCTTTTGTCTCCTGCCAATGGTCTCTTTCTCTCTTGACCTGGGAAGTGTGTGTGTGTGTGTGTGGGGGGGGGGTCTGATAAGGGCTTCTGCACTGTGGGGGGCTCATCTCCTGGATGCCCAGTTCCAGGGTGTATCCTTGTGGTTGTGTGACTGGGGAGAGGGGTGGGTCAAGGGAGAGGAGACAATTTAACACAGTGACGGGGTGCGACACTGATACTGGGGCCCTATGTGTGGTGTGGAGGGCTGGGTATGATTGTGTGACAGGGTAAAAGAGTCATAATGGGAGGAATGGTGCATTTGCGGGGGAAAGGAGAGCAAAAGATGGTACACACATGGTGGCCCCGCCGGGATTCTTCATCTCGCTTTTTCCATTCTCAGCCTCCAGGAGGGAAGGGCGTAAGGTTTCCTCTGGACAAACTGAGGAACAGCACGCCTGTTTTTCTTGGCTTGCCTGGGAGATTGCCGCGGAATTCCTCTGCTGGCATATACCCTGGGCACTAGAGCCCTGCAAGCTTGCCATGGCTAGGCCCAGATACTAGGGGTGAGGAAGCACCGGCCAGCTCCCGCCTTGTATTTGTGTCCAGAGCACCCAGTGCGCTCGAGGGTGTGAAGAATTGCAGGTCCAAAGGGGGAGACGGGCGGAGGGGCATTCTATAGGCAAATGGAAAGGATGGAGTGACTTTCGGGGGACACGACTCCCCTTTTCTCTCCCCGTTCTAGAACCGCCCCTTTCTCCCTTTCTTTCTCTGACATATACACTTTCTGCGTCACGTACAGAAGTCCCCGAGAGTGTCTAACATTTCCGCCTGGGACAGCTCGTTTCCCTCCAATCCCTAGGTAAATGCAACGCGAGTCTACGCCCCGCCCTGGCTCCGCCCCTCGGCGCCCCCCGCCGCGGGGAGCCCCTTCCCAGGACCTTATCCACGATCCTATAGCGCCACCTGGAGGGATAGGTGGGAAACGCGCTCCCTCCGGGTCCCTCTCCCCCTACTAACTCCGCCCCCAGGGAGGGGACCGAACCCTGCTCCCGCGAGTTAATCGCCGGCCTCCAAACTCGGAGGCAGGGGGTTGCTCTAGCAACCAGCGGGCTGGATACGCCCTGCGAGCTCTGCTCCAGCTGTGGCTCACGAATTTCAGTGTGACGCTGCTGAAAGAAAGTGGCGAAACCTGGGTGTTAGTAGAGACAGTCCCTGCGGGTTATCACGTCCTACATTATAAAATTCTCCAGAACTGGATATTTATAATGGGTATGACTACTTTTGCAATTAGAGAAAATGATAAATATACAGTTATGTAAACAGATTATAAACATTCTGTACACAACCATTCCACCAAATAATGCAACTCCGAAAGGGAAAAAAAGAGTATGCAATTAAATGCTGTCGAGTTCGGGGGCCATTGTGGCGACGGGAAATGAAAAATTTTCCAGAAATACTTTGGCGAATGTTCGGCCTTATCCGGTGCCCGGCTCCATCCACCGCCTCTTAACGACCGCAAGAACCGGAGGGGCAAATTCGCTTCCTAGCAACCCGGTCGCGCCCTCTCGGGTGCTGCAGCCCAGTAGTGCAGGGACTGGAATGGGAAGGCCCGGCCGTCACACAAACTGGCTCACCGAATGCTGTGGACTATGCGGTGCTTCCCCATTTTACCGAGAGGCACACCGAGGCTCTGAAAGGTTAAAGTATTTACAACAGTTTCCGCAGAGCCGGACTCAGGAGCGGGCACTGCTGGAGCGAGGTGGCTTTCCCGCGCTCCCTACCCAAGGGCCGTCCGAACCCCTCGCCCACACAGGGACAGTACGGGGTTAGGAAGAATGAGCCGAGGGGGCATGGCAATGCGGGGAGGCCACCAGAGAGGTGTCCTCGCTCTTTGTGGCCAAAGGACTCTGGGGAGGGGGGCTGCAGCGAAGCAGCCGACCCACGCCCGCGTAGGGGAGAGGGCTGCGCGGAACCGCGCGGGTCTCCGGGGAGCGCCGGCAGGGTGGGGTCGCGGCCTCTTCCTACCGACGCCAAATTTGCAGGCCCGGCTCTCCCGGGCTGAGGCGGAGGGCCCGCTGCATCCCCAGCCCCCTCTCGGCGCCTGCAGCCTCGCAGAGCCGCCAGGACGGCGGGTCTGGTCGTCTGCCTCGAGCTCTGCCCGCTGGCCCCGGCGCCCCCAACCCCTGGAGCGCGCAGCACGCTGGGCAGGGGCGCCGTCTGTCCAGGCCCAGGTTTTGGGAAGGGCAGTCGGCCGTTCCTGGCGGGAGCAGCCCCGGGGCCTGCCTTCCCGTCTGCTCTCAACCCTGGGGCTCCTCCCCGCCTTTCTGCCCTCGTGGGCGACCCGGCGGGTCTCGAGTATCTGTGAGGAAGGGGCTTCAGGGCGCCCCCTTTCCTCCTGCCGAATTGGGACCGGGACACGTCAGAAACCGAGACCTCAGGGGCCCAGGCCCAGCCAGAGGGCGCACGCACACTTTAGCACTGGCCCGGGGCTCGGGTGCAGGGGGGACGATAGACACACCTAGACCAGGATAGGGACACAGAGGTAGTACCACCAGGCCCTCGGACCCCCTTTATACCGTTCTCAGCCGGTGGCCCCTTCTCTGGCTCCTCTCGCCCCCTGCTTTCCGGCCATTGGCTGGCAGGAAGGCAGAGCTGGTCGGATTGGTCTGCGTCCAGACAGTGATGGATGGCTCCGCTCTGACTGGACAGCGGCCGAGACGGTGTCCGCTTCGCGGCTCAGTTTGGCTAAGGTGGGACCAAACAGCCCTGGGGAGTGGGTAGGTGGATGAGCTGGAGACCGGCCTAAGGCTCAGTCTTTCCGTGCTCACAATCTCCCTTTAAACTCTATACAGAGAAAAAAAATCCTACCCCTAATTCCCTGTAGATACCCTTTAACCCCGGAACCTGATGTAGGCAAAATTGAATAATTTACCCAAAGCAGTTTGGACACAACCCTATGGACCTCCCTTTCCCTCCAAACTGGGTCTCATTCATTTAACAATATTCGTGCATTCCGTTTGTTCGTTCACTCGTTCATTCTTTCACTCAAATATTTGAGTGTTTGCCAGAAGCCTGGCACTAGGGAAAGAAAGGGAGACTGATTAGCAAGTGATTGGGCCCAGAGGTGGCAGTGGGGTGGGGGTGGAGGGTTGAAAGGAGAGAAGGGATGAGAGATATTTCAAGGTAGAAATACCTTTAAAAATCCAACGGTGTCCTTTATCTGAGTGGTGTTAAAAATTCAGAGTTTGCGCTCTGTGTTCCTTCCTGTAGGTCATTCTTACTTCCTGTAAGTCATTCTTAACGAAAAAAGTAAATTAATCAAATGGCTGCCAGGTTTGACTCTATCGTCAGCATCTGTGTGGTCCTCATCTGTCTGCTAATCTCTTCTTCATCTCTTATCAACTAAAACTGGAAAATACCTGAGATGAGGATCCACAGAAATCAGAGTGATTGTGAGCACGTGTGGACTTTATATTGTATATACAGACGAGTGCCATTCCTTAAAACAGACTCTTTGGTAAGAAAAGCAGTATTGATAAAAGTAACAATAGTAGAAGCAAAATTAAGTTTCTTTTGGAATAGATAATTTCAATAGACATTTATTAACTGGCTGTTCTGAGCCAAAGACCTTTTAAAAAATATATTAATTACTTAATTAATTTGGTTGTGCCGGATCTTAGTTGCGGCTCGCAGGCTCCTTAGTTGTGGCATGCGAGCTCCTTAGTTCTGGCATGTGAACTTCTTAGTTGCAGCATGCATGTGGCATCTAGTTCCCTGACCAGGGACGGAACCCGGGCCCCCTGCATTGGGAGTGTGGAGTCTTATCCACTGCGCCACCAGGGAAGTCCTCCCACCAGACACCTTAATGGGGGTTGGTGGGAGCTTCTAAGATGAACTGGAAGACACGGTTCCTGACCTAAGGAGATCACAACTTGACTGGGAACAAAGAAATTGAAAACGTTGACAAAGGAGATGGTGTTACATAGTTATTTCACAGAAAAAAGTTGGGGGAAAAGACACCACAAAGGGAGAAAGTGTGTAAGCAAAGCAAAGAGGCAGAGAATCCCTGTCTAAGGAATTGCAGGTAGGTACATGTAGCTGGAATGGAGGATGTGTGTCTCTGTGGGGAGGTCCGGGTATGCTGCAGCTTGAAGCTTCTCCCTAAACAGGTTGTGACCGGATCAAGGCCAGTGTTGAATGTCACGGTAACAAATCACCGCAGTTTACTGAGTTGACTAGTCTGTGCTCCTTAGAAATACTACTGTCAAAAAAAAAAAAAAGAAATACTATTGTCTTCAAAGCAACCTAACCACGTAGATGCTGTCAGACCTATTTTTACAACTGAGAGCCCAGGAATTTGAATAATCTGCCTCAGGGCACAGGTGAGATTGAATCCCAGGCTGGTCTGACTCCAGTGCCCACTCCTCTTTGCCACGGAGCCTGATTTGTATTCTGAAGGTGATAGGGAGCCATTAAAGATTTTCTAGCAGTTAAGGGATATCAACTCTGTGTTTTCAGCAAGGAACTCTGCCGGCAACGTGGAATGTCTACTGAAGGGGGAAATAACAATCTAGGGTCAGCGCAAGACCTACAGAAGGTAGTCATTTTCATTTTTTAATTTTTATTTTATTGGCCGTGCCACATGTGGGATCTTAGGTCCCGACCCGACCCGGGATCGAACCTGCGCCCCCTGCATTGGAAGCCCGGAGTCTTAACAACTGGACCACCAGGGAAGTCCCAAGGCAGTCATTTTCATTATAGTCCCTTCCCATTCTTTATCTAAACAGTGCCATCCAGCTTGATTGTGCATCTTGTCACCAAACAGCTGGCAAAAATCAAGTCTACTCAGAGTTTGAAGAGTTAGTGCTTTTGAATTAATTCAGATAATTGCAGGGAATCATTCCACAACAGGGCTTCCAAAAGGACCCCTTTGTTAGGGACAATGATTTGACATTTATGTTCTGAAAAGTATGTTAAAAAGTGATAAACCAGTGGTTTCCAGTAGGGAGAGGGAAAGGGAGAGGGGTAAATTAGGAGTA